GTATCAGGTGCCTTAAAAGAATACAGATTATTTTTATTTATTTATTTTATTTATATTATATCTTATTTATTTTTAATAGAAAGATTTATTTTCTTTTAAAAATTTATTCTGGAGAGGAAAAGGACTTTATCTCATATTACGGTATTTATTTTTGAAATTCTATGTATTCTTTTTTTTTTAAAGATCTAATACTATTCTTAAGTAGTATTAGATGCCTTTGCTAAAAAGTTGCATTCAGTACAACTTTTTTTTTTTTCTGGATTAGTAGTCCAGATTAAATGCTTCCTCTCATAGCTCTGTTCTAAGCACTTAAAAATTTTAAGTTTTTTTGTAGAGACAAGGTCTTGCTAATGTTGCCCAGGCTGGACCCAAACCCCTGGCCTTGAGTGATCCTCCTGCCTTGGCCTCTTAAAGCACTGGAATTACAGGCATGAGCCACCATACCCGACCTCTGTTCTAAGCACTTTAAAACAAAGACTGTAAAATCAACATCTTCTGTAACATTTGGTTTTGTTCTCTTAGCCTCCCATGTGACAAAATATTACAGGGAGAGGCCTCCAGACATAGGGTATGGCTCAAAGTGGCAAAGGGAAACTGAGGGAGAGTCAAGGAAGATGGGGTTCTGTGTAGGGTGAAACAGGAGGTTGCGGTAGAGGTGAGAGGGAAGGAGGGGGAAGGTGGGCAGAATGGTAGCAGGCACAGAGGGAGGCCTGGACCTGACCTCACACACCCTGGGATTCTAGCTGGATCAGGACTCTGGGCCTTCATAGTGCTGGTCTCTGCGTAGACTCCCCCGTTTCCTTCAGCTAATACCCACTTAATTTTTCAAAATTCATTTCAGGCTGGGCGCAGTGGCTCATGGCCTGTAATCCCAGCACTTTGGGAGGCTGAGGCGGGCGGATCACGAGGTCAAGAGATCGAAACCATCCTGGCCAACAGGGTGAAACCCCGTCTCTACTAAAAAATACAAAAATTAGGTGGGTGTGGTGGCGCATGCCTGTAGTTCCAGCTACTCGGGAGGCTGAGGCGGGAGAATTGCTTGAATCCGGGAGGTGAAGGTTGCAGTGAGCTGAGATGGCGCCACTGCACTCTAGCCTGGTGCCTGGCGACAAAGCAAGACTGTCTCAAAAAAAAAAAAAAAAAAAAATTCATTTCAGGCTTCCTCCTAGGATACTTCTAATTGTCATCCATTTTGGGCCTCCCGTATATAGTACACTGTAAATGCTTCCATTGTAGTACTTGCCACACCATATTCTCATTCAGAGCTTGCCAACAGTTTCTCAGCGCAGATGTGCCAGGAAACCCATTCTCTTTCCTGCTGGAAAGTAGAGTGGGGCCTCCGTCTTGGATTGGTTGCCCAGGGCTGTGAGCAACTTCCTCTGTGCATCCCAGAGCCATAAGTGTCGTTTTCTATGTGTGGAAAAAGTGGGAAGTGCTCCTTTAGTCACTAGTACATTTGACCGTTTCCCCAGCAAGATGAAAGGCAGGCCAGTAAGCTGGAAATGGAACTTGTCCCCCAGGCCCCTGGTTCGGTGTTCTTGGTCGTCGTCTTACCACACAGATCAGTAGTTGTGATGCTCTCCTGCTGATTTCTCCTTTTGGGAGTGGTCTTTACACACAGACATGTTCTGGGACTCAGCCCTTGGACCACTTCTCTGTCTTCACTGTCTAGGTGTGTGTTCCTCAAACTATAATGTGCCTTCTTGCCGCCTGGGGTTTTGTTAAAAGTCAGATTCTGATTAGGGTAGGTTTGGACTGGAGGCGGTGCACTCCCACCAAGCTCGCAGGTAGTGCTGGTGCTGCCGGGACGGGAGCACACGGGAGGAGCGAGGCCTGGGCTGGGCTGAGGTCGTCTCGTTCGTTTTGTGACTTCAGTGTCATCTGATACACTGACAGGTCCCCATTTGTATCCCCAGTGTGGATCTCTCCCCCAAACGTAGACTTACGTATCCAGTCAACTCCCTGAGACCTCCATTTGGATCTCTAAAGAAATCTCAAATTTTAATTTTGAAAACTGAACTATTTGCCACCATTTCGTGAATATCTCCCAACTCTCCCGTTTGAGTAAATAGCAACTTCATTTTTCTTGCTGCTCAAACCGAAACTCTTGCATCATCCTCACTCCTCTCATCGGATGACCCACATTAACCCATCAGTTCCGCTCTTACAGTATTTCCAGGATCCGACCACTTCTCACTACCTACACTGCTTCTTGTCTAGATTTTTGCAGCAGCTTAACTATTCTCTCTGCTCCTACCCTGGACTTGGTTCAGTCCAAAGTAAATCTGTTAGATGTAAGTCAGATTTCTTACTCCTCCGTTGAAACCCTCCAGTGACGTCTCCCCTCACTCAGTAAAACTCAGAGTCCTTGCAGTGATCTGCAAGGCCCTTGTGTAGTGGATATAATCTGGAAGCCGCCTGGACCCCACCCCTGGCCAGTTAAATCAGAATCTCTGGAAAATGGAGTCCAGGCTTCTGGTTGTTTGATTTTGGAAAAAGCTCCCCAGGTGATTCTGATGCAGTCTACCTGGGCTCTGGCCTTTCCTTTCTCCTTTGAATTCATCACCCGCAACTTTATCCTTCTCTGTATGTGTTCCAGCCACAACAATCTCCTTGCTCTTCCTGAAACGTGGCAAGCATGTGCATAACACGTTCCTGTGAGAAACTGCTGAAACAAGAAAGAGTAGTAAGAGCAGGATGATTCTTGCCATCATACTGATGAGTTTTAGTTGAATTTTAAAACATATACAATGTTGAAAAAAGAAATCAGCTTTGCCTTTTTGTCTTGAGTTAAAAGCAGTATGCAGTTTTTCCTAGTTTTCTATGTGACAGTCTATGCTTAGTCATTGTTTAATAAAAGACCCAGGTACAAGACTTTCTTCATATGTTAAAAAGGAATAAAGGAGTGTGTGGCACCGTCTCGCTCCTGCTGTCACCTGCAGTGGCTCTGCATCATTAGCACCTCCAGTGTGTATTTGCTACCGGGTTAGTGCCAGCCAAGCTGATATACTTATCATTGATTTGAAGTTGTCTTATTTTTACTGAAGATTCCATATGTCCTAGCTTTTTTTTTTTTTTTGACTCTTTTTAAAAAAGTAATATGAGTCCAAGCTAAAAGTTCAGTGGTATCAAAGGGCATGTAGTGAGAAACCAGTCGCCTTCCTGCCCTGGCGTTCAGCACCCATTGTAACCAGCCAGTGTCATGTTGTAGTTCTTAAGCATTCTTTGTTCTTGTTATTTAAATGTTTTTGCCTATTTAATTTTAAGAATCGTTGATGTAATGAAATAAGTAAAAATGCATGCCATAAGTTTTTCAACGTCTTTTAACAAACAGAAGATTAAATTATCAAAATGACATTAAGGGTAATAACTCTAAAATAATAAAATAATTCATTCTAAAATAGGTAATTCATAGAACATTTTCCAGGGTAGCCATTCCTTTTCCTCTGAGTTCTAGGAAGCTCTCTCCTCCATGAATTGAAATTTGTCTGGCGCTGTCCAGTTCTCTGAGAGTGTGCTCCAGGCTTCCTCTGCCCCAGAGCCTGCTCTGTCTCTCCTGTGTGCCCATTTAAAGTCAGCTTTTCCTTTGAGTGTTGCCCTCTTGCCGGCAGTGACCTGCTCCCTGAATCATTCTCCCTCTCTTGCCTTAAGTAATCGGGTTTCCCTGATAGCTGTTCACGGGCAGGACCTGACCTCTTTCTGATGATCTTCCCCACTGGCTTCCATGTTCAACAAATATTTATTGAGGAGCTTGCCCAGCCCTTTTTACTGACCTAAATGGATAAGATAATGGATTTTGGTTTGAGATACCGATTCAGATCCTAACTCTGCCTCTAATTAGTTGTATGACTAGACAGATTGCTTAATTTTTCTGGGCCCCTTCTCATTACAATGAGGCCCATAGTAGTACTTTCATTATAGAGTTACTAGGAGGATTTAATGAGATTGTTTATGCAGGTTGGGCACTGTGGTTCACGCCTGTAATATCAGCACTTTGGGAAGCTCAGGTGGGAGAATCACCTGAGCCCAGGAGTTTGAGACAAGCCTGGGCAACATAGGGAAACCCTATCTACAAAAACTTTTAAAACTTTTGTAGATTTAGTGGGGCATGCCTGTGGTCCCAGCTACTCTGGAGGCTGAGGCAGGAGGTTGAGGCTGCAGTGAGCCCTAATCATGCCGCTGCACTCTAGCCTGGGTGACAGAGTGAGACCCTGTCTCAAAAACAGAAGAGATTGTAATGTGAAAAGCTTAGCACAGTGTCTTTCAAAAGATGAATGGATAAGCAAAACATGGTATCTCCATACAGTGGAATATATTTCAGCCTTAAAAAAGACTGAACTTCTGACATGCCTCAAAACATGGTTGAACTTTGAAGGTATGTGCTAATGAAGTCAGCCAATCACAAAAGGATGAATACTGTATTGTTCTACTTATATGAAATATCTAGATTAGGTAAATTCATAGAGAAAGAAAGTAGAATAGAGGTTACCAGGGGATGGAGTGGAGAGGGTGGGAGAGAAGAAGGGGTAGTTATTGCTAAATGGTGACAGTGTTTCTGCTTTGGGTGATAAAATAGTTTCAGACATAAATAGTGGTGATGGTTGCACGACAGTGTAACTGAAATTAATGCTACTGGATTGTACATTGAAAAATGGTTAAAATGGAAAAGTATATACTATATATATCTTACCACAGTTTAAAAAAAAATAATGTACCAGAAACCACTGAATTGCACACATGAAATGGGTGAAATGTATGGTATGTGAATGATGTCTCAGTGAAGCTGTTTAAAAGCAATCGTAGCATGGTGCCTGGCATATACATAGTAAGTACTGAATAAATGATAGTTGTGGTGGTAATCGTCAATATTTAGGGAGCATTTCAACTTGATTCTCATTTACGTTAGAGCAGTATTTAATGGTTGAAATAAAAATGTTCATTTCAGTTTTGTCTCTAATGGGCTCTCATCAATTTTCCCATATCTCATTTCTGTGCCTCAGAGTTATTGATTTAGGAGTCATGACTCCATGTGATAAGATACTGAAAGCTGCTCTTGACCACAAAGCAGGTACTGTGCGATTGTACTGTGGGAATTTCTCTAAATGTCATATCCCCAGGTGTCTGTCAGTGAATAGTGATGCCCCGTCAGGGGTCCATGGGACATACAGACAGTCAAGTGCCAGCTCCTACATGGGGTTGCTTTTGTTACCATTCCTAATGGGGGTTGAGAGAGGTGAGTGAGTAACCATGGAACCGAGTGCTGGAGATGGGGACAGACCTTCTTATAGGAGAACAGTTGTATTCGATTTTTTTTCTCGTGTGTAGTCATTTTTGTGTTTCTTCTTAACACTGTGATATATTCAAGTCTGAGAAATCATGAGCTAAAGATATCTTCTATTGCATGGCTTCCTAAAACTGTGGCAAGTAATTATTACAACCTTAAGTTGATTTCTTATTTACTACCAGAAAAGCTATGGCAAGTAATTATTGCAACCTTAAGTTATAAATCTTATTTACTACCAGAAACAAAAAATGAATTGAAATTCCCCAGTCAGAAAAGATATCTTAGAATTAGAAATTGGGGATAGGCACAGTGGCTCATACCTGTAATCCTGGGAGGCTGAGGCAGGCAGATCATTTGAGGTCAGGAGTTTGAGACCAGCCTGGCCAACATGGTGAAACACCAGCTCAACTAAAGATGCAAAAATTAGCCAAGCTTGGTGGTGGGCACCTGTGATCCCAGTTACTCAGGAGACTGAGGCAGGAGAATTGCTTGAACCCAGGTGGCAGAGGTTGCAGTAGGCTGAGATCGCACCACTGTATTCCAGCCTGGGCAACAAATGAGACTCCATTTAAAAAAAAAAAACAATTGTAATTGGGAATTCATGTTAAGTCTTTTGGTCTTTATTATAAAAACAGTTTTTCATTTTTCTCCTTTTTCTTTTATTCTTCTCACTGTACTTTTTTTTTTTTTTTTTTTTAAATAGATATAATTGGCCTTTCAGGACTTATCACTCCTTCCCTGGATGAAATGATTTTTGTCGCCAAGGAAATGGAGAGATTAGCTATAAAGATTCCATTGTTGATTGGAGGAGCAACCACTTCAAGGTAAGTTACACTAATGAGCTTTGTGCTCACTTCAAATTCTCTGAAATGCCATGTTTAAAAACAATGGTAAACCTGTTTTGTTTTGGATTTTCCCTTATGTTTAGTACATTGACTTTTTGTTATATAAACACAAAAATTTTCTGGTCTTCACTTGGACAAGAGCCAGAATACTTCCAGAGCATGCTATAGAAAACTTTTTTTATAATTCCTATTCTTTGCTTTTTCTTGGATTTCTTTGGCACACAATAATCTCTTTCTTAATGCTCTCACTTCCGATTCAGTTCCTGAGAATTCTAATGAACTCCTCTCTTGAGATCAAACTGAGTGGAGAAGCTGTGTTTTTGGCACAAAGTCATTACTTGAACTTTTGCCCACTCTATCTTGAAGCCGGTGTCTGGTTGAATGATTACAGGTTCCTTTGAAGGAACTCTAACCTTGTAGTAGTTTGGAGACAGAATACCTGTCTAGCAAGAATGAACTAATGATCACTTCGTAGAGTTTCTGAAAGGGGAGCTTTTTGGGAACGTTTGGGTTAGCAGCATTAAGAGGTATAAAATGTAAAAATGAGAAAGTTCAAATTTGTTCACATGATAATTATTCTGTTTACCAGATTTTTCCTGGGATCCTGTTCATAGTGAAATGTGGTAAGTGATACCCTAACTGTGGGTACTAGGCTTTTTATGCCACCACAGTTCACTTTCTCAGGAGCATTATCATGCTGGAACATTGAACCTAATGGTCCCATAGCATCTAGTTGATTTTTCTGATGCAGAAATGCAATAAAGATGTGGTTATAGGTATAGCAGAGTTTCTTTTGCACTAGAAACAACTGTACATTAAGCCAATTTGTATAGGGTGGTTCAGAGGAACAGAATCAATAGGGTATGTTTATATATAGAGAGAAAGAGATTTATTTTAAAGAATTAACTCCTGTGATTGTGGAAGCTGGCAAGTCTGAAATCTGCAGCCTGGAGACACAGGGAAGAGTCGATTTCTTGAGTCTAAAGACAGGCTGAAGGTAGAATTTCTTCTTCCTTGTAGGGGTGGGAGTGGGCAAGTCTCTTAAAGGCCTTCGGCTGATTGGACAAGGTCCACCTACATTGTGAATGATAATCTGCTTTACTCTAAGTCTACTGATTAAAATGTTAATCACATCTAAAAAGAATTTTTTCACAGTAATATTTAGATTGTGGTTAGTCAAAAACTGTATACCATGGCCTAGCCAAGTTTGTACATGAAATTAACTATCATACTATTTAAAATTTGAATGGATCGTCTTCATAAGTAGAAACAGTATTATGTGTCTTTTATCCATTAGCTTGTTCTTCATACTTAAAGGATTCAATAGTTTGATTATCATTGCTAACATTAGAAACCAGGGTTGGTTTTTCCACAAAGGACTTATGTACTAGGAAATATGGCAGAGTTGGTCTCAAGAGATATGGCCAACCATTAATAATGGGTTTTGATGATCATGGTCTTGGGTAATTGATGACAGGCTTAGTGAAGAGAACGGTAAGAGGACCTATGGACTGTTGTCAGAATGACAGACTTTTTAATATCAATTGTAAAGTAGAATAAATAAATATTTGAATGAGAATAATTAAAATACATTATGAGTTATGTAAATATGATGCTGGCTTCAAAATAAGAACCTTTTTATATGGTGGGACACTGCACTCAGAAATTTGCCACTTGTGCAAATTGGAACTTTACCTAATAGTCCATTTTATCGTTTCCCATGTAAGACCTACCAGATGAAAGAAAAAAAACATTGAGAAGCAACATGGCTAGCCTCTCAAGATGCGTTATTGGCAGTATTACCCTGTTAATGATTTTTAGCAGTTACAGCCTGGTATATCAAATTAGAATTGGTAAGATAGGAAATCACCAACATCTCTTCACTTACTGCAAAATACCTATTCTCATTGTCTGGGAAACTGTGAATGTGTTTGGCCTAAAGGTAGAAGCTGGGTCCCCTGACCTCTTAAGGTTTCTTCCAGCTCTCCAGTGCTTTGCTTCTCCATGAGCTCTGCCTCTTCTGGTTCTCTTGTCTATGCCTGTTGCAATTTCTGGGAAATTGCTTGGAAAGTAAGAGCTAGTAGGTAGCTCTGCTTCCAGGAACTATTCCCTTCTACACTGTGGTGCTGGAATAGCCTTTGGAAAAGATTCTTGTGCAGCCTCCAGGAATTTCAGTGTAGAATTCCCCAGTTCTGACTCCATTCTAATTAGTGACAGTGGATGAGGTCTGAGACCTGAAGTCTTGCTTTATAAAGCTCTCTTATTTAAGTAAGTGCTTTTATAGAAGTTTGGCAGTTAAAACAGAAAAGTACACGAATCATATAGATGTACAACTTGACAAGTTTTTACAAAAGGGAACCCACCCATGTAACCACCTCCAGATCAAGAAATAGAACACTAATGGCACCCTAGGAACCTCACCAGGTTCCCCCACCCAGTCATCTTTTCCAACAAAAGTAACCACTGTTCCTTCTTCTGTCACCATAGGGTGGTTTTGCCTGCATTTCAACTTTATATAAATGGAGTCATATTGTATATATTCTCCTGGGTCTGGCTTTTTTTGCTCCACATCATATCTTTGAGGTCCAGCTTTGTTACAATAGTTGTTTGGGATTTTTTTTTTTTTTTTTAATGTAGTATTCCATTGTATAGTGTGCTGTGACTTATTTACTCTTGCTACTGTTAGTGAACATTTGGAGTTTTCCACTTTAGGGCTATCACAAACAATGCTGCTATGAACATTTACTCCTATGAATTTTGGTGCACATGTATGTATATTTCTACCTGGAAGCAGAATTGCCAGACCATATGGTATGCCTGTGATCATCCTCACTCACTATTGCCACGGAGTTGTCCAAAGTCACTGTAGCACTTTACACTCGCACCGGCCATTTGGAAAGTTCCACATCCTTGGCAGTTGTATCCGTTGTCGTGGGTGTGGTAACACCTTGCTGTCGTTTCCGTTTGCATTTCTCTGCTGATCAGTGATGTCGAGCACCTTTTCATTTGTATATTGACCATTTGGATATGCTTTTTAAGTCTTTTAAAAAATGGGTATTCTGCCTTATTGTTACTGGTTTGTACACATTCTTTATAGTATATACAAACCCTCCTTTTTCAGAAATATATATTTTTTTCAATATATATATATATAGAAAAATATATATATTGAAAAAAATAGATTTTTTTTCAATCTGGCTTGCCTTTTGCTATCTTAGTGCTGTCTTTGGATAATGAAAGTTCTAAATTTATAAAGTGTGATTTATCAGTCTCTTCATATATGGTTAATGCCTCTCGCATCTGAATAAGTAAATCATCTCCTAGGAGAGCCACCTTTTCTAGGAAGCACTGAGGAGTTGGAGTGTCTCAGAAGCCCATGTAAGAGCACTTACTATTATTTCCTACAAACCAGTGGAGGACTTAGCAGTAGCTTCTTAGCTCAGGATTTCCACATTTTCATGAAAACATTGCTGAGCGGAAATAAGCCTATGGCTTTCCCAGACATCGGTGACTTACAGTAGCTTGAGTAGAACTAGAACTGTACCCCCAAGACACTCAAAATGAAGGTGAAGTCTGTCAGGTTGCAGGAGTGGCCAATCTTTTGGTTTCCTTGGGCCACACTGGAAGAATTGTTTCGGGCCCCACATAAAATACGCTAACACTAAGAATAACTAACAAACTAAAAAAAAATTGCAAAAAATCTCATAATGTTTTAAGAAAGTTTACGAATTTGTGTTGGGCTGCATGTTGGACAAGCTTGGTCTAGTGGATGAATCGATATTTGGAGAAATCGAAAGAGTTATATAGATTTGAGGTTAAGTATGGGTGGAAATCTGCTTTGAGTGTCCTTCTTAAGCCCGTAGCTATGAGAGAATAGAAAATTGGATATTCTTCTATCTGTAATATAAATGGTTTTGGTTTTACAAACTAGAAAAAACTTTAATGGAAATCTGGTCCTTTAGCTGCAGAACTTTTTGAGGGCCTGAGTTCTGGCAGTCGTCTTTCAATTGTTAACTGATTTATAGCCAACAACTGCAAAGTATCTTTAAAAAAAAAAAAGATACATGGAGAATTCAACGGAAAGTCACATTACTCAAAGGTAATTTTCTTAGTTAGGGAAATTAACTCAATTTTCTTATGGTTAATTTTCTGAGTTTTTTTTTTTTAATTGTAGGAAATAAGATACTGAGTCCTATAAGTGATTTCATTTTCTTCTTTGTATTGGTCACAGGGAAGCTGGGAGTTTAGACCAGTGTATAGGATTTCAGGAATGGATTTTATATGCTAATGTCCCTCCTGATTCTATCTTAAATCATCCCATCTCTGTTTTTCCCTTCTCTCATTTTTCTCACCAAATTTTAAGTGCTGGCCATGCTGTATTTATGTAAAAGAACATAAATTAAATCTGTAATAGTATACAATATGAAATAAATGCATAGAATATCTGTTCTTATTCATAATATTAAAAAATACTTTCTGAGGTTAACACCATTATGCCTGTTTGACAGGTGTGGGAGGTGACTAAATCCTAAGTGTCCATGAGTGACTTAGCAAAGATGGGATTTGAGATTCAGCCTCAGTTTCTAGCTTTTTACTTTTTATGTGTAGGAAGGGGAGGAGAGATTCTGATATTTTGCATCTTTTTAAACTTCAGAAAGAAGTCACAGCTGGAGAAGCTTGCTTGAGTGTGGAAACTTAGAAGAAAGGAAGTAGAATCAATTATTGGAGTCAAATTATAAGGCAACCAGAAGCACTCTTAATGGCTAAGCAAATTTCATGCCTCTGGTCACCTAGCTTTGTCAGTTTTTATGTTGGAAAGCAGCACTTTGCTTTTGTATATTTTCTCATAGTGGAATCCATCAGTTTCTTCTCGGTACCCTTGTCCAGAAGACCTTCAAAGAGAGAATTGGTCAGAATTGAGTGGGAATCCTTGAGTGCTTAATAAATATTAATTGTGTTGATTTTTAAATTTAAAATTGTGTAGGTTCTCTTTAAGAGAAAAGTCATATACGTGTCATCAGGCTTGAAATAATTCTTCCTTAAAGAGTGTATGTTTTACACAGAATTTGTATTGAGGCTTATTTGTGTGCTCAGGGAGCTTACCGTCTGAACAAGAGGAAGCAAGCGTAGTTTGAATTGTGTTCTGTTTTGAAACTAGAAGCCGTGTCTTCTCTAACTGCTTTTTCAACTGTTTAAATATCCTCCCTTCACAGAATACCCAAGATACCTTAACCTTTGGTCCCTGAGCACACACTAGGCATAAAACGGGAGGGTCTCAGGAGGCCATGGAGTTCATTCAGCTGCCCCAAGGGCCATGGTCCGGCCCCCCTGCCACTCCGTACCCCAGCCTTCCCAGTCCAAAGGATGGCTCTTGACTCACTGGCCTATCCCTGAATGCCAGTCTTCCAGCTCAGTTCTCATAGCTTAAGGCTTTGTAGTCCTTTGCTTCCTGTTTACGAGTGGAGATACTGTTAGGGAGATGGAACAGGTGAAGTGTTACTGATCTTGTCTGGAGTTTTTAGAGCCTTCTTCGAAAAGCCTGTTAAAAACACACTCATACATATATTACACCTATTATAGTCTCTTGGCTTTTAAAAATTACCTCAATAATCCACGTTTACTAGACCATGTCAAACAATTCAGAGGAATGTAAAGTACCATTGAGTCTGTCTCTTCCCACCTTCAGCCTCACCTCTAAGCCCCATGTGACCAGTGTGGACACTTTTGATGTGTATCTCCGTGTTTTTTCTAAATATATAGAAACTTAGATATAGGATTGGTTGGTTGTTTGGAAAAGATTGAGGGTGGCGTTTTTTTAAAAAATGCAGTTGCATTAAACATGGTATTCTGCTACTTTATTTCTTTCTCATATAATAGCATATTCTAGATAATATTCCAAACATACATTTTTGTTGAAGGGAAGAATGTGAACACACTTGCCTTGGGGAAGGGTACTGCTGCTTCTCGGGAGGAGGAGAGAGGAGAAAAGACGGAATGCACTGTCCATCTTGTGGGGACTGCTGCTGGCCGCCCTTCGAAGTGGGATGCGGGCAGTCTACCCTTCTCCTCCCTCTCCAGGGTTCCAGATTAACCACTGTTAGGGAGACTATTCACTTTAATTCGTTATGTCCTGTCATGAAATGGCAGATCTACAGTCTGTCCTGTTGCTGTAAACATCTAGTAATCAGAGGGCAGTTTGTTTTCCACTTCAGTTAATTAGGTAGTTTTAAGAATGAAAGGGTGTTTCTTCCTAATACCAACATTTGCAGGTTTGGCAGTAGGGATTTGGGGCTGAGCCAGTCTTAAATACTAAGAATAAAAGATTTTTCTTGCTTTTGCCTCTCTGTATTATTTTGTATTGAATTTCAGGTTTGGGGTTCCATACTGCGAGTACAAGGGTGGGATTGGGGCCAAGGAGTGTTGATGTCTCCCATGAACAGGGGAGCAGCTGCTAGACAGCCATGTCCTGTGTCCTCTGCCTGGTTCCCAGTTCCTTAGGGACCCTGGCTGCTATCCCAGCCCATTTGGAGGAGGGAACTCAACTTGACCTTGATGACAGCTGTGTGATTTCCTGGGACTGGTTACATCCTTTAGGTTGCACAGGCTGCTTATGAGCGCCAGGTCATGCACAGGCTCAGTCCCTTGTTGATAGAGCAAAGGACAAGGTCTTTCTCATTTTGCCACAGACTTCTGCAGAGCTTGGGCCAGGCTTCCCATCTTAGGGTAGGGAAAAAGTCGTTCGTGTTTTACAAGGGAAATTTGAAGTTCAGTATTTGTAGGTAAGCAACTTGACATCTTTCTCTGGAAAGCACTGTAGAAGTAGTTATCTCTAATGGCTCTGAACAAGCGTTGTGTAGGAACTGTCAGTGCTGATGGATATGTTTTCTTTCTGACCCCTGTTTTTAGAACCCACACAGCAGTTAAAATAGCTCCAAGATACAGTGCGCCTGTAATCCATGTGCTGGACGCGTCCAAGAGTGTGGTGGTGGTAAGTGGGTGACCTCACATTTTATTCCAGATGTGTTGTACAGAGAGTAAGGGTGTAACTTAAGATCTATTCCTCTTTATTCATTTCTGTTCAGTAAAGCTCAGAGAGCAGCGTCTATAGTGACTGCCTTGCTGGAAGGAGGTCCAGGTGACCATGTCCTGTACTTTCCAAGACAGTTAGAACTGAGCAGCATATAGGTAGATGACCGGGCACCAAGACACCTTTGACCTGGAGACTAACCAGACGAAGATTTCGCCCACTCACAAACATGAATAGATATTTACTTGACTGTGTAAAAGGAATGTTGGATTTTTAAATGACCTTTCTCCAGATAGAAAAACAAACTTGAAAGTGTCCTAGCTGACCCTACCCAAAGACAGTAAAACATCTGCTAGATATTTAAAACCCAGAACAATTGTTTCTGTTTCTCAGTGAACATCATAAACAATTCACCCACGTGTCTTTCCCTGCTTTTCTCCTTCAGCGAAGCCTAACATTCTATCTTGTTATAGGTTTCATTGTTTTCACTGAATAATGGGATATAACAGCTGGGGGACACCCAAGAGACAGTGTGGTCCAGTGGTTTCCAAATTGATTTCAGCCACAGAATCTTTGTCTGTTAAGTGATGTCTTACCTGGAAATTCAGTGTGGCAGAATTTCCAGGTAAGACATCACTTAACAGACAAGGCAGAGAACAGTCGAGCTGCCCTTTCCGTTCGTCATCCCACCCCTCTTGTTCATTGGAAGAGCACAGTTTGAGAACCACAGATCTAGCCCAAACTTTCTTCAGGCGAGGAAGGTTACTGAGGTGGCCTGGTGATCTGTGGGACTTCCAGTGATGTCACGCAACCTGGACTAGGGTGGCCACATTTCCTGAGCTGTCTTCCAAAGAAATTATTTCAGATCTGTGCATTTATTTACATGAAAGTTATATAATAATCACTAACATGATTGAAAATGTGTAGTGTGCCAGGTACCGAGCTAAATGTTTTACGTGGATTATTTTATTTTATCCTCAGGAAAACCTCACTAGGTAGATATTTTTATTGTCCCCAGTGCAGAGATCAGGAAACAGAGGAATAAAGAGATTAATAACTCTGCTGAGACCACACATCTGTCAAGTGGCAGGTGTGGGATTTGAATGCAAGTCATCTTACTCTATGTCAAATTAAACTTGTTTAACAATTCTCCTTTATTAAAAAGGATAAAATTAACTCAGGCTGGGATCATAAAATTGTAATTGTTTATTTGCCACCGATGTAGACAAATATGCAAATAAGCTGCATTTTTACAACTCAACTTTAAAACAATTTTTGTTTCTTATTCTTGGATTGTGCTCCATAGGAGCTTATATCAGGGCCATGGTTGAGTGCAGTGGGCCTCTTCTTAACACTTGCCATTATTTTCAAACACTGATGCTTAGCCCTGAACAGTTTCCATTCAGAGGCAAGACTTTTGGACCCATTTAGGTGCACGGTGCTAGACTTTTCTCTACAGGTAGAGGAAAGAATCAGTCTCCTTGAGTCCGTGTTTGGAGGACAAGCTCCTTCACCATCTTTTTTTTGAGATGAGTGTTGCTCTGTTGCCCAGGCTGGAGTACAATGGCATGACCTCGGCTCACTGCAACCTCCGCCTCTCAGTTCAAGCAATCCTGCTGCCTCAGCTTCTTGAGTAGCTGGGATTACAGGTGTGTGCCACCACACCAGGCTAATTTTTTCATCATGTAGGCCAGGCTGGCCTCAAACTCCTAACTTCAAGTCATCCATCTGCTTGGGCCTCCCAGAGTGCTGGGATGACAGGCATAAGCCACTGCGCCCAGCCCTCCTTCACCATCTTGAAGAGCTAAAGTAGTGGGGGCCTTGCTGAAAGCCAGGTAGAGAATGAGGAACAGGTGTTGGTGTTCTTGACAGTTTAGTCCAGCCACGCAGCCAGCAGCTCCAGTTAGCTCCTCCATGTACAAAGAACCACGTTCTGAAAGTACTCAAACATAGGTCAGATGATAAATTATGTGAGTAACTGCTAGTGACACTTCAGGAGCCAGTGGTATAATTTGTTTGAGTTGGTTGTGGGCTCATTGGCCCAGGCTCTTTTGATCTAACTGAAATGAACATGGAACAGGATCACATTTTATGAATGGTCTTATGTATTTGTAAGATTCCACAAATACTTAACGGTTAGAGATTTAGATCCAAGGATTCTCCCTTCCTTTCTTTTTTCTTCTTTAATAGAAAACGATGTGCCAATATTTTATTCTTTTTAAATTATAAAATATCTTTTCAGTGTATTCCCTCTTACTGTGTGGCTATTGCCATAAAGTACAATTTTTTAAAATGAAGGAAAATATAAACTGTGACATATCCCAGCGGTTGGCATGAAAACACATGATGGATTTGATTTTTTTGGTGGAAGGAGCACGTAAGTTAGCCCACATGTATTGACCATGAAGTTGTTTCCATCAAGTAAGTCCGACTGGGCAGGAAGGGGCCTGCCATTGCGGCCCTGGGAGCAGCAGGCTCCATGGGGCTGTGGAAGGGGCTAGCAAACTACATTGGTATGTTCTGTCTACCCAGTAGCACCAACATCAGGGGGTTTGCAGATTCTCTGAATGTCAAGGACATCTGGTTTTACTTTCTCAGAGTATATAGTCTAGCAAAATGTAAGAAGGTTTTAAGACATTGGTTACATGTACTACAGGGATTTCAGAGTAGGCATTCCCTTCTTGTTTCATTGGGCTGTGCTGGGTTTCCTAGACAAGGACTCCACTGAGGTGAGTTTAATGTAAGGCTAGGAAATACCTCTATGGTGTGAACACCATTCGGAAGCCTCTATTTGGCTTGCCACAATGGCCTTTTCTGATTGTATTCCTGAATGAGGTGATGTTGTTTCATACCAACTCATAGATGTTTGGATTGTTATTAGAGATACTTAGAAAACCCATGTGGAGTTAATGCTGGTTTTAGCCATCTTTCAGTCTAACTTCTGTAAGTTCAGATGAAGATGTTGAACTTTCTTACCTTTTGGTGTATTAGGTAATCCTGCTGCAGAGTGCAGGGAGCGGGCAGTGCTATGTTTATTTTTTAACTGATGTAATCAGTCGTTGCCATTTCTTCTTTCTACGTAATATCATTATGTGCTTTGATGGTAGCTATTCTTCTATCAATGTGATAATCATAGTAACAAATAATATTTAGCTGAACCTAGTTTTACAATTTAATGAGTAGACTCACATTTTTCTCAGATTATTGGTTTCCTTTCCAATTTTAGCAGAAACGTACAGTGGACTATAAAGATTCGCCTCATTCCCTCAGCAGACAGTGAGAATGCAACTCCAGACACTGGGCTAGGCATCAGGGGCATGAAGGTAGTTGATGTGTGATTGCAACTCTCACAGGCCTTTCTAGTAAGGGAAGTAGATACATAAATTGATGCTAAAAGGCTGTGGAAAGTAGATGAACAAAATATCTTTGAAACATTGAGTTGAGGGTTACCTAACCCAGAGGGTTCCCAAGACCACCTTCAGGTTTAATGATTGATGGAAGGACACAGAAAACCCAGAAACACTGTTATTCTCATGACCCTGGTTTATTATTGTGAAAGGATATAGGTTAAAATCAGGGAAGGCCAAAGGCACAAAGGATGCAATGCAGGCGAGACCAGGTGCAAGCTCTCAGGTGTCATCTCTCTATAGAGTAATCCGGGTGGTGCTTAATTCTTCCACTAGTGGTATGTGACAACATGTAAGGAGCCTTGCCAACCCAGAACTTTACCTGAGCCTTCGTGTCCTGGGTGTGGGGGTTGATCACATAGGCCCAGACTGCCCATGTGACTAGCCTTAATTGCTCAGTCTTCAGTCCCTGCAGAGGTCAAGCAGAAGCGTGCGCTGAGCCCCCGCTACATAAATCAGACTGTTAGCATAAACCATCCAACGTGGCCCAGGGTGCCAGGTATACAGTGACTCTCTTATCAGGCAGGCTGTCCCAAGGGTTTAGAGTTTGTCTTTCAGAAAACAGTCAAGGACCGGTCCTTTCTTTGGCTTGTGCAGTGATTGAACATCCCACGCCCACTGAGTTTACCCTTTCCTGCACACCAGGCAGGAATTAGCACAGTTGGTGAAGGGAGAAGAAGTGAAGTTAAGGAAGCCGCCTTCCTGAATGAGGTGTCACCAGAGTTTACCGTTAGTGCACCAATTTTATCATCTTTTGCTGATCTCTGGTTATCTTGCATTTTCAGTGTTCTCAACTGTTAGATGAAAATCTAAAGGATGAATACTTTGAGGAAATCATGGAAGAATATGAAGATATTAGACAGGACCATTATGAGTCTCTCAAGGTAAGTAGTAGAAACAGATCTTTGCTTGTTTTTAATGTGACTAGTTTTTATGATCCTAGTTTTTTAAAGTGACTTTTAAAAATGGCTTTGAGGAGAGTAAAAGGCTTGGGATCATTTTAGAGAATTTCTATCTTCTAGTTCAAATCAGAGGTCTTCAGTGTCTAAGTTCCCAAATAATTTTTGGTTATATTAAAATGAATTTTATTTATTGAGCCAAACATTTATTGGGTACCCAGTAAGTGTTAGGGGCTGTGCTAGATATGAGAGCTCTGATAATGAATAAAACATGAGTTCATACTCAGCAGGAAAACAGGCACTGAAGCAGCGTACTGCAGTGACTCCCACAGAACCCCATTCTTGAGGAGCTAATGGAAGAAAATGGAGACCTGAGGCAGGACCAGTGTAGGCCTCTTTCCCTGACTACCCAACCCTGACTGCAGAATGATGTTTGAAGAACTGTCCCTCTCTTGATAAGCTTCAGGGAATCCATGGAGAACAGGCATAATTGTGCTTTAGAAGTCACTGAAATGTTGGTTTCTGGTTATCTGCCTTCTGGGCTTTGATGGGAGCATTTCGCGAGTGGCTCGGCAAGTGAAGTGAGATCAACAGCATGAAGAAACATGTTGTTTTGCTTCTGAGGTGCCAGCTAGCCCAAGGCGCAGTGGTTGGCTTTTTCCTCTCCCGACGCTTGCCCACAGGGGACAGTGTCTTTAATTCTACCTTCTGGTCCTCAGGGTCAGCCAGGGAAGGCCAGTTAACAGCTGGCCTCAGGTGTTCTGAAAATGCAGGTAGGACACCTCCCTGGTACCTGAGGTTCAGCCTGCAGAACCAGGCTCGCATTCACATCTCAATAGTAAATGGATGCTGCTTGAGTCTTTACTGTCTGTTGTTCTGGTGCCAGTGAGAAACCGACTGGACAGAAAAGGAAGAGCTTTTTAGGATAAGGATTCTCATGAATAAAAGCATTTGCTTCCTTGCAAAGCTTACATACTGGCCTTCTTGGACATGTTTTCATAGTAACTGTGGAAAAGCTAAAGTCTCTAATTTTTCTTTGTTTTTTAACAGGACAGGAGATACTTACCCTTAAGTCAAGCCAGAAAAAGTGGTTTCCGAATGGATTGGCTGTCTGAACCTCACCCAGGTCTGTCTGGCTATGGAGTAGAGAAAGACGGGATATGCTAATTCAAGTGTGCTGAGGAAATATATGCATTTACTTGGCTATAAAATCAATCAGCTAACAACTCTCAACTGTGTCTAATGATGATGGGCGACTGATGTCTGGAAAGAACGGGAGTAGATGCCATTTATGGAGCAGGTGTTGTGTGCCAGACACTGCCCTGGCTGGGCTTCCAGCAGCTCTCGGAGTCCTTCAGACAACTCCGTAATGAACATGGGAATTATCCCCATTTTAATTTGAAGAAACTGAGTTTTGGGTAGAAACTTGAAAGGTTACTAGGAATCTCTCTGAGATTTGTCTTCTAAAGCCACACTCTTTACTCTGTGCCATGCTTGAGTGGGCCTCCGTCTCCTTGAAGAAAGTTCTGTGGAGACCTGCCTGGGTGGTACTGTCACCTGAGGTGGCCTGGGTCTCTGACAGGCCCAAGGGCAGACGTGAAATGTCTAAAATCGGAAGCGACGTTGCATTCACACATCTTTAAAACACTGCAGCAAAGCAGGCTCCTCTATTTCTTGCTTTCTCTCTTGCCCTCTCTCTGGATGTTTCTCTTTCTATTTCTTTTATTTGGTTTCTTCCTTTTTAAAATTTCTAGCTATCTTTCTTGCCTCACATAGGTATTCACAAAGGAATAAAATGTGTAAGATGTTTTGACAGACGCAGAGAGGCGTGAGACACAAATGCAAAACCAAGACAGTGAACAGGGGTTATATTAATTGAATCCCTATTTCCAAGGTAATGTCTCAAATCAGCTTTCATTGCTCACGACATCTGTGTTCTACACATGCTTGGCAGAGTTGAGAGGATTAAATTGGAAATGTAGGTGTGCTTGGTTCTAATTTCATCCCTGCTGAGTTCAGCGTGGTTTAGTGGAAAGAGTGCCATATTGGGAGCCGGGAGGCCGGGGTTCTCATCCCAACGTGGCTCCTGGCTCTGACTCACGGAGTGACCTTGAGCAGCTTGCTTCCACATTTGACAGTTTCTACCATGTAAAAAAAGGAGGTACTTTTTGGAAATGTTGTGAGGGTAAAATAGTACTTAAAAACCTTTGAAAAAACATAAATTGCTACGTAGTTCAAACTATGATTATTTGTTCTGTGAAATTGGAATTTCATAGGGAAGATATAGAACAAATAATCATAAGGGCAAGTCTGTTTCACAAGGGCAAGTCTGTTTGGATCAAATCAGACATCCAAAACATATTTTGCTGGAAATAGGCCCCCAAAGGCCCACAGGACCTGGCAGCGGTTGGGACGGTTTTTGAGTGGCCACTTTAATCTCTGGCACGGGGCTACTACAGGGCCTATCCTGCTGCCCAAGGGCCATGGGGCCCTGAGGCCTGGCTCTCCGAAATATACCTGAGGACAGCCAATCCTAAGGTAATTGCAAGAAGTTGATAGCGGGTAAAGGAGGGTCTTCGTTTAAGGCCCTGGTGGTAAAACCTCAAACATTTCTTAAACTCTGGGGGACGAGCGTGGTCAAGAGAGAGTCCCTCAGTGGCTCTGCAGCAGCGCATGCTCTCTGCCTTCCTAGTAGAGTGGACACTTGAATCAAGGGTCTATCTGTAGATTACTTTTAGTGTGTCTACGAAGGGGACTATAAAGACTTTTGTACCAACAAACCAACATAATAGGATATTTCCAAAGAGGAGATTGTCCCGCGTAGAGAAGGATGATGAGGAAGAAATGGGAAAGGGCTACTGTGAACAAGTATGAAAAGGGGGAGATTTCCAGGCAGAGTAAGAAGCTACTCATACTTTTCCTGTGCTCTCATCTCCCATTTTTACTGTCAAATGAGAGAAAAATACTCTAGAAGCTTCTGTGTTCTCCCAGAGCCCCTGAGATTGGTAGAATAGGAAGTTCTCTGATGCCTGGTTATAAATCAGGAAGTAGAGAGACAGGAAGGCTCAGATATGGCAATGGGGCCAACACCTGAGACTCCAGCCTGACCCTGCCGCGTCAAAGCAGAGTCCTAGGTGCGGACCGCACTGCGGGCTGGAGGGCAGCGGCAGTGCGGCTCTTCCTGCCCCGGGCAGTCCAGCAGCACCGTCTGTCTCTGAAGTCTTCACCATTATTTAAATTATGATACACTTTAGACTCACCAGGAGGTATAAAGAACAATGTATTAAACATCCCTGCATACCCACTAGCCAGCTTAAGACATAACCTACCACCTGATTTTTAAAAAACAAAACAAAGCAGAGTCAACAGAGGTTAGATTAATTTTCCAAGGTAATATCTCACATCAGCTTTCATTGACCACATCTGTGTTGCACCCGTGCTGAGTTGAGGATTATGTATTGAGGAATATGTATCTGAATTCCCACACGTGTCCCTTCCTGCCGTGCAGAAATCACTGCAGTCCTGAATTTGGGACTTCATTTTCCTGTAGTTTGGGCATATGTATCAGTAGGCAATATAGATGATTGTTTCTGGTCTTGAAACTTGAGATAAGCAGCTTACTCTCTATGCCTTTCTGCAGCGTTCTTCATGTTCACCTCGTCTTCATTTGTACAAGTGAGGATTAACCCATCTGTCTTTCCTTCTTGGGCAGGGGGTAGGAATAGAAGGGTTAGGGGAACAGTTTCCAAGGGTGGTGTAGTCAGTCAGCTGCATGTGAAGAATAGTTTTATTTAAGACTCAGTGCGGAATTACTCCTTCTCCACGATAATTTAAAGTTCCCCTCTTTGTAAAACAACTCCTACGGGTGACAGGAGGGAGGCAGAGCGTGGGAGCTGGCAGAGCACTGAGGAGCTGGCAGGGCGGCCTCCATCAGGTGGGGTGCCAGCGTCGGCACTGACAACCATACTTCTTTCCTCTAGTGAAGCCCACATTTATTGGGACCCGGGTCTTTGAAGACTATGACCTGCAGAAACTGGTGGACTACATTGATTGGAAGCCTTTCTTTGATGTCTGGCAGCTCCGGGGCAAGTACCCGAATCGAGGGTTTCCCAAGATATTCAACGACAAAACAGTAGGTTAGTGCAGTAAGTCCTTCCTTTCTGCCTCTGATATTCAAGACGTAGGATTGTGACTTTGAAGACAGGAATTGGTGAGGAGCAGTGAATTTGGATTGTGCAGATAATAGCTGCTTTCATGTTGCTCACCTGCCCAACTTTTTTAATGGTTTTTGAACTGCTAGATTGGTCCTTATTATATCAACTAACTTTGGTATCTACTTTGTTCTTTTAATAAATGTTTATTGACATCAGTTACATGCTGGGCACTAGGGATAAACGGAAGACGATACATTCCCTGCCATCTAGTACTGACTGGTTGGCACAGCCAATAGTAATGGGCCCTGCCTAGGCTCCCGTGGGCACAAGAAGAGAAGATAGAGCTCAGACTGAGAGGTCAGGGCAGGCTTCCTAGAAGAGGTAGTGTTTGAACTCTTTTTGAGGATTCAGTGGGAGTTGCTGTGGTGGGACTATAGATGTGATATGATGTTGAAGAAAGGGACATTGCAGGTAGAGGAGACAGTATGAAAACGCACAGGCACATGTGCCTAATTGGGGAACTGCAGGGAGTCCGTTTTGCTTGGCGCATTGGGGAGGGAATGGGGATTTGGGGGGATAAACCAGAGAAGTAGGTGAGGTGATAAATTACTACCCACCCCCCGCCTTCTCACTTCAAGCCTCACCCCAAAACCCACCCACAGAGACTGGAATCCAAATCCAGAGCCATTCATAGGATCAGGTAGTAGGCAGATCAGAGCAATAAGGAGGGGTGGAGCCACAGAAGCATGGGATTAGGGCTGAGAGGAGCCTGAGAAACCAGCCTCTTGCCAAGTTTCCCGGAAGCAGAGTCTGGGTGTGCGTGTTAGGACGCTGAGACTCAGGAGCTCTCAGGTAGCCAGGAACATGGTGGTGGGCAAGGGGCTTCTCATTGCACTGCCCCTCAGTCATCACAGGTGAGCTGTCCAGGGGCCGCAGGACAGGCTGCTTACCGTGGGTAGGGCGGCCAGTCTCACAGACCCAGAAACCGAGAGGGTGTCCTGGGAGCCTGGCCCCCACTGCAGGTCCTGGAGCAGGCCAGCCAGGTGCAGCACTGAAGCCAGTATGAGGATTTGGGCCACACTTCATTCCTTACCACTGACGTTCCTTGTGCACATACAATTCCACTGACTTCACAGTGACTCTGGGGGCCTTGACCTGTGCCTGTGTTCACTGTGCCTTGTATTCTGTGGTGTCCGAGCCTGGGTGCATATAGTAAGGATGTACTGAGCCTGAGTGCATCTGGTAAGCATGTAGCTGTCCTTGTTTAACTCTTCACGGTACTGTTTAAGGCCCCAGATTTAAGAATCCCTTCAGATGTTGCTATGGTCAAAATGTCAGTCATTATGAATTGTATTGTGGTTAGGATTTAAAGCACCACAGAACACAAGGCACAGATCATGTCTCCCAGAGTCACTGTGGAGTCCCTGGAGTTGTACGTGCACAAGGAACGTCAGTGAGTGAGGAATCTGGCCTGCTTTTTCTCGTCCTCTCTGACAGAATGGGGTGGGGGGAGCCACAGCTTCGGCTCTCTGCCTTTTGTCCAATGGAAAATTGAAGTGGCTTGAACTGGGAGAAGCAGACCATGGGAGCTGAACTTAGCAGGAACCACAAAACCCTGGCTGTTCTGCTTTAAGCTAGGTCAGTGGCAAACAACAGAAAGCATTTGAGAAAAATAGAGAAGGGTGAGGAGGGAAGGTGACTGAGCAGGGGTAATGGTTTTTGAAAGAAGCATTGTTTGATGGGTATTTTTGGCATCTTTACGTGAATTCTTACTATGTTTTTCTAATAGGTGAAGAGGCCAAAAAGGTCTACGATGATGCCCGAAATATGCTGAACACGTTGATTAGTCAAAGGAAACTCCAAGCCAGGGGAGTGGTTGGGTTCTGGCCAGCACAGAGTGTCCAAGACGACATCCACCTGTACGCAGAGGGTGCCGTGCCCCAGGCTGCAGAGCCCATAGCCACCTTCTATGGGTTAAGGCAACAGGTATGGAAGGGCTTGACAGCCAGCACTCTGCTCTCACCTGTGAGTTTAAGCGCTAAGCCAAAGAGCTTTGCATAAATGAGAGTCTGCTCCACCTCCTCCCAAGTGACCACTCACTCACCCAAGCCCAAGGCCTCTGTGAGGAGGGTGGAGAGAAGGCGCCCACGTGGGTGTCAGTGGCAGGGCCACTCCGCAGGAGTGAGGCATGTCATGTCATGTGCCACGGATGGACAAGAGCCACTGCTGCTGTCTCAGGTGGTCACATGTCGGTTTTCGCAGCTTCTGAAGGAAGAGAACACTCACTGTGCAGGAAATGCTGGTTAACCTCTGTGTACTTTGTTAAAATAGACTGTGGCTCCCCATGAAAGGGGAAGACAGGTGGAAACCAACATTTGCAGAATGTATTCCAGGTGCCAGGTGCGTAGTGAGGTGCTGGATGGGTCATTCTTTTAATTTCCACACAGCCGTGTCAGGCAGTTGAAGTTTCTGTTTTACAGAGAAGATGAAGGCTGGTGGAGATTGTGCTGGGCCCCCACCGTAGAGGGAGAGCCAGCCTGTGCACACCCCCAGTGGCTGCTCTTCACTGTGCTGGCTGCTCTTCTCTGGAGTGGTGAGAACAGACACTTCTCAGCAACTTCTTTCTCATTGCCCCACCTTGAAAAAGGCAGATACCCTATGCATGTCCCTTTAGGTGCTGTAAAAAAGGGTGTCTTAATCAAGACTTGGAACCAGAATTATTCTTTCTGTATTACTGCCATTTTCAGTCATTCAACAATGGTAGTGTTGGCTAGTTTACAGTGACTGACACCTGTAATCCCAGCACTTTGAGAAGCCGAGGTGGGAGGATTGCTTGAGCCCAGGAGTTTGAGACCAGCCTGAGCAAGATGGCAAGACCCTGCCTCTACAAAAAAAAAAAAAAAAAAAAAATTAAAAATTAGCAGTACACTGGGGAGTGCATACCTGTATGTCTGGATTCCCAACTACTTGGGAAGATGAGGTGGGAGGATCACTTGAGCCCAGGAGTTCAAGGCTGCAGTAAGCCGTGATCATGCTGCTATACTCCAACCTGGGCAACAGAGCCAGACACTGTCTCCGAAAAACAAGCAAACAAAAAAGATAGTGGTGCTTTTTAATCCCAACCACAATATAATTCATAGTGGTCAATATTTGGACCATAACAGCGTCTGAAGGGATTCTGAAATTTGGGGCCTTAACTAGTACCATGGAGAGTTAAAGCTACATCCTTAACATCTGCACTCAGGCTCAGTAAATCCCTACTGCTTGCACCCAGGCTCAGTCACCACAGAATACAAGTCACTAGGGTTCTAATGTTAATTTCCTGCCCCTCTTCACTAGGGAATTTGTGGCTTTTCTTTTACAAACATAACTATTCAAAAACCTCTGCTCTGCTCTAGCCCAGTCTTTCATCTTTGAAGTCGTGTGTCCCCTGCGATCTCTTTTTGCTTCCAGTACTATTCATGTCCAGGCAGTCTGTGACATATTAGGGCATTTAATCGAATGAATTCTCAGAGTTCACCTTTTTAATAGCCTCTGGAGAGGGGAACTGGGCCAGGCACGTACATTACCTACCCAGGTGGCGATTTCTCAGGAGGGGCTTTCCTCTAGTGTACTCTGGAACATTCTGCAGCAGTGCCTTATTACTCTGGGAGTCTGCTCTTCTGAGTAGGCTCTGATTGCTGTCTCTTCTAAGGTACCATGGGGCTCTGTGATCTGTCTCTCCTGTGGTGCAGGGAAGCTCTGGGTCCCCCTCTGGCTTTTGTTAGCAAAGAAGAATTGATGGGCCGAGTATACCTGGAAAACGGCTTCCCCACGCACAGCTGTCTCTGAGCTCTGTGACATTCCTGTGTGCCGTTACCAAACACCTCCTCGCCTGCACTTAACGATTTCCTGCCCTGTGTCCGTGAGGCTGTGCTTGCCTCCGTGGCTGGCAGTGAGCTGTGGGGTGTCTGGGTTGGCCACTCTCTGATTAATTGATTGGTCCCAAGCAGTACTACATATGTAGGAGCATGGGTTGTGGTATCAGCCCCCTGGCCCTCCCACTGTCTGACCTCAAGCTTCCTATGCCCCTGATTTCTTGTCTGTAAAATGGAACTGGTGATATCACTCATGTCACAAGGTGATTGAGAGGGTTAAATTAGTAATTCATGTAAAGCACCAAGAACAGGCACAGAGAAACTACTGAATAAGTATTAGTTATAAGCTTTTTACCTTCTCAGCAAGTATTTATTGATTTTTAAAATATGTATAAGACCTTATTTATTAACTTAGTTGTGGGGAAGAGTGGCTCATCAGCTGAGGGTGAAAAATTGGGAGGATAGGCCCTGGGGCTGTGGAGAGAATCCAGAAGCAAATCCTGCTGAATTCTTGGTTTGGTTCCCAGCCGTCCCTGGGTGTCCTCAGCCGGCTCCTGTATGACCCTCCCACCCCTTCCCCCCCATCCCCTCCCCCCCACCACCCCACATGGCAGGCAGCACGTGCCCTGGGCATTGCTGATCCCGATAGCTTGTTGTTTGAGCTGCTTCTGTTGATGCTATGGAGGCTTTTCCATTTATCAGATCTCTTTCGAACATGGTGCTGGACTTACTTGAAAACACTTGAGGACAAACTTTTTTTTAAAAAAAAGCCCGTGATTTCAGCACAGTGCCCGAAGGCCTTCATTAAATGTTTGGTCAGTGTGTGAATGAGTGAGTGAACTGGTGTCTTGACTATTTATGTTATATCATGTCATATGTTTTTTAAAAATCTCATTTGTTTAACAAATATTTATTGAATACTCACTATGTGTCAGACACAATTCCAAGTGCTGGGGATGTAGCAGTGGACAGTACAGGCTGCCGTCTGGGTGTTGTGAAGCTTATTTTCATTTGAAGATGCCTGATCGCCCTCCACGGTGTGCTGGTGCCATGTTCTTGCTCACGGCGCCTCCGCATACTGCTTGGTTTTAAGGCCGAGAAGGACCCTGCCAGCACAGAGCCGTACTACTGCCTCTCGGACTTCATCGCTCCTCTGCATTCTGGCATCCGTGACTACCTGGGCCTGTTTGCCGTTGCCTGCTTTGGGGTGGAAGAGCTGAGCAAGGCCTATGAGGATGACAGTGACGACTACAGCAGCATCATGGTCAAAGCGCTGGGGGACCGGCTGGCAGAGGTAAGGCAGAGGCATCGCGTCAAGGGGCTGAGGACAGAGGCCGGGCGGCAGGGAACCTGGGTGGGCCCTTAGAACCGGGGTCTTTTTTTTTCCTTGAGTTGGATGCTGCTGGCTTTAACATTACACATATTTTAATATTATATATCCCCAGATTGCCCGTGTGTGTTATCTTTAGGGCAGAGTAAAACCTTCAGTGGTGCTGTAGTTGGCCGTTGCTCTGAGAGCCCTTGCCTCTGCCTTACCTCTGCTGTCTCTCTTTGGTTATTATGATAGGACAATTTCCTCAGGACCCTAAAAAATTGAAAACAAATTTTTATTTCAGAGCCCCTCATTGTATTGCTGGTGTCATCTGTAGATTGTTCATCTTCCTATGCGTGGAATGGGGTGGGAGAGCCTCCGCCTTTTCCTGCAGTGAGCAGTGGAGGGACTCGCAGCTAGAAGGTCCCAGCTGCTCTTTGTGGCCAGTGTAGCTTTGGATTAACCTTTAGGGAAATTGTTAAGTCTTAAGGTCTGAAATCCTCAGGTCACTAAGCATGATGCTTCAGAACTCAGGTTGAGGCCACAATGAGCCGCAGAGCAGCTAATGACAGTATAAACCAATCGAGAATCCAGCCCGTTCCCTCTTTCCAAGTCTTTCCTGGCTGGGGTGCAGATGAGGGAGGCTCTCCTCATGGCTGTGACTCGGGGTGGAGGCTGCACCGATGCCGGGAGCCCCCACTTCTGCCTAAGCACACCTGGTGCTCTGGTCTGAAGGCATTCGCAGAAGAGCTGCATGAACAGGTGCGCCGAGAACTGTGGGCCTACTGTGGCAGCGAGCAGCTGGACGTCGCCGACCTGCGGAGGCTGCGGTATCAGGGCATCCGCCCAGCTCCCGGCTACCCCAGCCAGCCTGACCACACCGAGAAGCTCACCATGTGGAGGCTCGCGGACATCGAGCAGTCGACGGGTATGAGCCAGGAAGCCGCAGGTTCCTGTCTTCCTTCTTCAGTGCATAGACTCTCATCAGCATAACGGCACATATGGTTAAACGTGTTTTTAATGTGGAAGGCCTTCTAATCACATTGTCCCTTATCCTGTCCTTTTTCACTTGTACCTATTCTGGCATTTTACTTCAGCATTAGTGTTCTTACATCATCGTTTTTAGATTCATCCATTTAAATGATTTCCTCTTGGCCTACACTAGATGGGAGTTTAGCTTGCTTATACCATCCTATTCCTCTCGTGCCCCAGTTTCCTGTCACAGGCATGCTAATGTCTTTAATCCCTCCCTTAGTGACCAATCTTTGTCCCTTAGTAAGGTCACATGCCTCACCTTCTTGTCCCCTTGCTTGTGGATGGTGTCCCTGGGTGCTGGTCTTGCAGAGCGCCCAGCCTTCCCTTCAGCCCCTTTTTCTCTTTTACACTGTTATTAACATTTGTCCTCTTCTGTAATCCGAATTCTATGTTTTCCTGTGGATTCTAGTAGCTGAACCTGAGAAGCTGGCATGTGCCCTTCTGAGACAAAGGCCCAGACACCCGGCCTCAGCGTCCTGTGCCCAGAGCTGAATTGCTCATGGTTCTGTGGCTGCACATTGTCACATCAATATGCTGGTTCTAGTCATTACTTCAGAGTTCATGTAGTTGAGATGGCCCAGTCTAAGCTCACAGTTTTCAGTGGAATTAATAAAAAGCATGCCATCAAAGCTGATAAAGTTAAAGACGTCTAGATTTAAGTGAGAAACCATGAGCTGTGTTGAATCTGCTTCAGCAGGAACAACACTAACTCTAGAAGTCGTGAGATCTGGGTTCGGGTCCTGTTTCTGCCATTAGCTGGCTGAGCGACCTCTGGCTGAGTACTCAGCCTTCGTGCTGCTGTTTCCTTGTCCATAAAACGAGTAGCTTCGAATAGATATCCTTGAGAGGGTCCCTTTGAATTCTCAGATCCCAAGGAAAACTGTGTCTTCTTTTTCACAATGTTGTGGGCTCGTTCTTCACTGGAGTTCTCAGTCGTCCCTAGTATTAGTGGCCCCAGAGAGCCTACGGAGAGCAGTTCGCTTGGTGTTCTCATCTCTGGGGTTAGAGCTCCGATCTGGCAAGGTCTAGGTTTAGGAGCAAATCAGGGCACCTACAGTTGATCTCTGATGGCTGGAGGTAGGAGTGTGGAGTCCTTCCCAGGCCTGTCCACCCTGGGTTGCAGTGCCCAGCCTTAGAGGAGATCTGCATGTCCTGAATTTGTTTATTCACCTGGCAGGAATTGCGAGACTTATCTGATTGCAGCTTTCCTGCTGTGTCATGTGTCTACCTAGAAGGCATGAGTTCACTTTGCTTCACTTATTCAGTAAGAGTTCATTGTCTGCTGGGCACTGAGTGAGTAAGCATTTTCCCGGGTTGCTCTCTCCAGGCATTAGGTTAACAGAGTCATTAGCAATGGCACCTGCTGCAGCGGTCTCAGGCCTCTACTTCTCCAGTTTGAAGTCCAAATATTTTGCTGTGGGGAAGATATCCAGGGATCAGGTAAGCTAGCTGTTCATTTTATGTGGCTTCCCTAGATACCTGCCTTATCTGAAATGAAATTCTAGAACCTCTTTCATTTTAAATATGAATGAGAATACAGTAAGGGGAAAGCATGAAGAAATTTTCTCCAGTTAATGTCTTAATTTGATTTCAACAGAATACCTGAATTCTCGCCCTCACTTCTACATGCAAACACACACACACACACACACACACACACACACACACACACACTCTCACACACGGCTTCTAAGCATCAGATGTTTATTACATGTTGTTTTTCTGCCTAGTGAATAAGGCAACTTGGTAGACAGATAAATACCTATCTCCATTTAACTCAGTAGATTGCTATTAAGGCAAGAAATGGAAGGTACTTAAGGTTTCTTGGCAAATGTTGCAGAAACTTCTGTTCCAAAGTCTTACCATGTCGGTTTAATAAAATACTTCTCATCTTTTGCAGGTTGAGGATTATGCTTTGAGGAAGAACATGTCTGTGGCCGAGATTGAGAAATGGCTTGGACCCATTTTGGGATATGATACAGACTAACTCTTTTCTTTTTCTTTTCTTTTCTTTCTTTTTTTTTTTTTTTTGGCCTTTTTTATTCTTGATGATCCTCAAGGAAATACAACCTAAAGTGCCTTAAAAATCACAACAGAAAGCCTGTGCGCATCTGGTTGACACTGCCTTGTAGAAGAAAAGCCTGAAACTCAGTTGAATAGGGAAGTGTGATCCTGTGGCAAGGTGATAGTGTGAGAAATGGGGCATTTTAATCCAAGCAGTTCCAACACTGGATTCCGACGGGGAAGGAAGCGTAGCTCTGCCCTCTCTTTGGAAGACCTCGTTTTCTAAAGGCTGGATTAAATGGCTGCAGAACTCCCTTTGGCAAAAGCCATGCCCTCGCCGCTTGCTTGTCAAACGCCCAAGCCGTTTGCCCCAGTGTGGTCAGCGGTCACGCCCTGGGCATTTTCGTCCTCCCATAACTTCACGTCAGTGCCCCTGAGGAAACAGTAAGGAGATGGGGAAGAGAAAGCTACTGTGAAGGGTGGTTAATGTCTTTTAATTGTTTTCAGGATTAAGCAGGATCTCAGCTGGGCTCCGATATCCTGTGCAGAGTTGGCAGGTGGGCAGCATAGTGTCACTCATTTCTTACCATCTTATTCCCCTCCAATTCTCGATATATTCAATAATGAAGAATGCTGCCACCACTCAAGCAACAAGCCTCAAACTCACCCATGCCGTCTTTTTCTTGGATGATTGCATTATCTCAAAAATGTGCATGCAATTACACACTCAGATGGTGGTGTATACACAAGATGGTGGTGGAAATAGTCAGGAGAAGGTCGCGTTGAGTCCTGATTTGAGATTTGAAGGATGAAGACCAAGAAGCAAGGGAGGAACAAATGAAGAACTCTCTTTGCTTATGGATAGGAATAGTAAAGATTACAAAGGTATCAGATCTCCCCAAATGGATCTATGGATTTAATACCATTTTCGGCGGAAATTTCAACCGAGATTTTATTGAATGAAACAAGCAGGTGTTTAAATTTATATGGAATAGCAAAGGACTTAAAATTACCAAATGCTTCTAAATACACAAGAGGGGTTGGGGAGACACACCCTGTACGATACAACTGTTCGCTTTTGGTTTTTTTGAGACGGAGCTTCGCTCTGGTCATCCAGGCTGGAGTGCAGTGGCGCAGTCTTGGCTCAATGCAGCCTCTGCCTCCTGGGTTCAGGCGGTCTCCTGCCTCAGCCTCCCAGGTAGCTGGGATTATAGGTGCACACCACCACGCCTGGTTAATGTGGTGCAGAGGTAGGCATTATGAGCAGGGAAACAAAATAAGGGCCTAGAAACTCACCCATGCATATGTTTACCTTTGTGAAATGACCGGGTGGAGGGAGGTCAGTGGGGACAGGAAGGACCACTCCCTAAGTAGTCTCAGAACAGTGGCTATTCATGTGGGGAAAAAATTTGAAGTCCTCGCACCCTACCCAATGATAAGTTCCAAATATGTTAAGGGCTTCAGTACAGAAAGCAAAAATTGTCACTGTTTGGATGAAAAAGGCTTAGCAGCCGGGCGCGGTGGCTCACGCCTGCAATCCCAACACTTTGGGAGGCCGAGGCGGGTGGATCACAAGGTCAAGAGATCGAGACCATCCTGGTCAACATGGTGAAACCCCGTCTCTACTAAAAATACAAAAAATTAGCTGGGCATGGTGGCACGTGCCTGTAATCCCAGCTACTCAAGAGGCTGAGGCAGGAGAATTGCCTGAACCCAGAAGGCGGAGGTTGCGGTGAGCTGAGATCGCGCCATTGCACTCCAGCCTGGGTAACAAGAGCGAAAGTCTGTCTCAAAAAAGAAAAAGAAAAAAAGGCTTAGCGCAGGAAAGAATCTCTTGAGACATAAAGTAGTTATAATAAATGATAAGATGGTTAAGTCAACTCTGTTAAAACTAAAGACTTATATTAAGAAAACACTTTAAGTGAGAAGATGAGCTGCAACTTGAGAAGACATTTATAATAGGAATAACAGACAAAGGATTCATAATCACAAATACAGAGAACTGTTTAAAAAACACTCAATAGAAAAATAGAGAAGACTTGAAAAGGCATTTCACACAAGAGGAAATATGTAGGGCTTTTAAATAAGTAGATGTTCTGTAGCATTGCCGACCAGAGAAATATGAATTTGGACCACAATGAGATTCCATTTTATATCCATAAGATTTGCAAAAGTTGGGTCTCGGTAGCAGGTGTTAGATCTATAGGGACTTGTGGATGAACAGGCACCACTGCTTTAAAAAAACGGTTATACCTCATGGACTTGAACATTTGCAGACCTTATGATCTTGCTTCCAACTCCCACCTGTATGTCCAACAAACTCTTGCATGTGGCCACTAGGAGAAATGTGTAAAAATGTTCATAGTAACGTATTTATAATAATAACTGGAAAAGGCGAAATGTCTGTCTACAGGAGAATAGGTGAATAATTAGATACGTCTGTTCACCCTACCGGATATTATTCAGTAGTGAAAATGAGTGAGCTACAGCTATACCTCACAATAAGAATGAATCTCAGAAAATACTAAGGAAAAGAAGCTCAAAACCAAGCAAAACCAAAGAATATGTAGTCTGAGCATGCATATATCATAAAACTGTATCGTAAAAACAGAGGGTAACAATGATAAACCAAAATTTTGCATACTAATTACCACGGGAGGAGGAAACGGAAGGAACAGGAACACATAGGTAGATGCCAAGTTACGCGGCTGTTCTGGTTCCTGGCTGGTAGGCTTACGAGTGTTTACTAGATGCTATTAATATATTATGCTTTATAGCTCATATATAACAGAGTTTTATACATATTAAATATGTTCTACTTAATATTGTATTAAATACATTATTAAAAATAAAGGCAGAGTGAAATGATCATCTAAAATCTGGTATGGTGATTTTGTCGGTAGTGTTTGTATATGTCAAATACAGTTTTTAAGGAAAGGAAGAACATCTTAGAGTAAACAGCAGCTAGAAAGGACGGGGCAGGAGGGTGGTCCCTCTGTGCCGCTGCCAGCAGTTGCCCAGATACCAGTCTTTGAGGAATGAGTGGGTGACTAAGACAGAGGCCAGGAGATGGGAGGAAGGATGAGTTTTGGAAAGATTCTGTGTGACCAGACTGAATACGGGCAGTTGGATACTAGACTTTGGAATGTGAAAAGAATGTCGAGTTAGAATTGAGAGACTTCAATGTGGAAATGGAGGTCAGCCTACAGTGCAGTGCGATCACCTATGGAGCATATGAAGAGAAGAGAATCTGGAGGAGGAGAAGAAGGCAGGGAGCCAGGAGAGGAGCAGCTGTGGGTTGGAGGAAGCCAGGAGGGAGAGTGAAGTGCCAGGGAAAGCAAGGAAGAGAGTTTGGAGGCATGTCAGCAGAATTCAATGCTGCAAAGAGGTCTGGCAATGGGATTGCTGAGTGCCCTTTCCACAGTGAACCCCTCAAGAGCAGCTTCAGGGGATCATGGGGCCTGTTGGCAGACTCAGCCGACTGCCAGGTTGAAGATTGAATGGGAGGTGTGGAAGATTTGTTGGCTCATTTAAAGAAGATTGGAGGGAAAGGTAGGATTGAGAGTGTTTCAGACAGAAGAAGGATTATATGCTGAGGATGAAGTGCAGGTACAGAGGGTTGCAGATAGTGCAGAGATCTTTTAAAAAATCATTTTAACCCAACTTCTAGGGAGATGGCATTTCTTCTGCCAGTCAATAATACCATCAACCTGGGAGTTGGCCCTGACCCCTCCAGTCTTAGCTCCTGCTGCTGTAACACAATACCACAAACCAGGTGGCTTATAAAGAACAGACATTTCTTTCTTACAGTTCAGGAGGCTGGAAGTCCAAGATCACAGTGCCATCATGGCTGGGTTCTGGGGAGGGTCCTCTTCTGGGATGCAGTGGCCAACTTCTCATGTTCTCATGGTGATGGGTAAGTTTGCTTTCTGGCGTCTCATAAGGGCACTAATCCCATTCATGAGGGCTCCACCTTCATGACCTAATTACCTCCCAAAGATGCCCTCCAAATAGCATCTTCCTGGGAATTCCATTTCGACATGAATTGTGGGGGACGTAACACCTCTCTTTTTCTCAACCTTCACATCCATTTGGCTCCCAAGCCCTGGTGCTTTTACACACTAGATAGGTCTTAAGTTCATCTCTACGCCTGCCCTGGTCTAGGTTATCATTCCTCCTCTGGATTCATCTGCAACACAGGCTGCCTGGTTGGTTCCGCACCTCCTAGAGCTGTAAGAGGGGGCTCTCCGATTCTTTACACCCCTGCCTCGATCCTCTGCTGCCTGAATTACCGTCTCCTTGTCACCTAGGGTATATCCCAGCTCCTTAGAGGCATAGGAAGCCTTCCATGTCTGACCCTGCCTCATGCCGCAGAACCCCAGACCGCTGCTGTACCCTGAGGAGGTTATCTGCACGTTGGCCCCTCTGTCTGGAGTAACCCCACCCCAATTCCACCCAATTTGGGAAAGCTTTCCAACCCCTTCCCTCCACCACCTCAAAGCTTAAGTGAAGTGACCCTTCTTCTTGCCTCCGTAACACCAACGTGCACATTTCATACAGCCTTTGCTGAAACATAATCTAATTCCCTGTTAGACGTAATGTTCCCTAAGGGCAGGTTTGAACCTTACTCATCTTTCTATATATGGTGTCTAGAATAGTGTTTGCTTTATGATAGGTGCTCAGTAAAGGTTGTCTTGAATGAGTTGAGCAGATCCTCTAGGGATAGGAGTTGGGGAGCAGACGGCAAAGCCTCATAAGGGCAGGGCCACGCCTCTCTTCCTGAGCTTGGAATCTCCAGAGCCTAGTTCAGTGCCTGCCATGACATTGTTCACTCCATCAAGCATTGTTAAATGAGTCGGGGGCAGGGGGACCGTGATGGTTTTCTTTCTCTCAGAAAGAAACCAGAGACTCAAAGCCCTAGCCCCCTTTCTACAGCCACCTTCAGGGTTTCGTATTAGAAGTGGCCCAAGTGATACTTTCTTTACTGTCCTATGAAGACAGCATATTGTTAGCCCTGCAAAAAAAAAAACAAAACCAAACAAACAAAAAAAAACCCCTCAATTCATGGCTTACTTGCTTGCTACAAATGAGCTTGTGTTTCTTTCTATATAAGGAAATATATGCTAGTATATGCATTAAAACATCAAGAAGAGGCCAGATGTGATGGCTGACACCTCTAATCCCAGCACTTTGGGAGGCCGAGGCAGGCGAATCACGAGATCAAGAGATCAAGACCATCCTGGCCAACATGGTGAAACCTCGTCTCTACTAAAAGTAAAAAAATTAGCTGGGTGTGGTGGTGCGTACTTGGAGTCCCAGGTACTCGGGAGGCTGATGCAGGAGAATCGCTTGAACCCGGGAGGCAGAGGTTGCAGTGAGCCAAGATTGTGCCACTGCACTCCAGCCTGGGCAACGGAACAAGACTCTGTCTCAAAAACAAGCAAATGAACAACAAAAAGAAAACATCCAGAAAAGCTGGGCACAGTGTCACATGCCTGTAAACTCAGCCACTCAGGAGGCTGAAGAGGGAGGATTGCTTGAGACCAGGAATTTCAGGCTCCAGGGAGCTATGATTGCACCACTGTACTCTAGCCTGTGCTGAGACCTCATCTCTTAACAAATAAAAATAAAAAGTCTAAGAGGATACACAAATTCTTAAGTGTTTACCTCTAGGGAATGGGATTATGGGATCAGAGGTGAGGGAACTCGTGGTTTGGCTATTTCTCATTCTTTCTGCACTGTTTCAATTTTTTACAAGTGTATATGATTGTACTTTTAAAAAGATTAGCTTGGCAACAAATCTCACCTGAAGTGGGTGCTATTTTTAATAGTCTGAGTGAACAGTAAGAATTTAAATGAAGTAACCCCTAAACTCAGCCAGTCCCATTTTTTTTTAACACTTGGAATATCTAATTCCATTTACACTCCATTCTTCAAATATAATTTTAGAAGATGTCTTTTGGCTCATCCCTTGATTTTAAGTATTATACCCTTTGCAGACTCACAAAACAAGCAGTCCCTAAATTCTTACCTGGGAAAGTATCTTAGATTAAATGGTTTTTGAGAACCTTGAAAGTATATATGCTATGAAATAGAAGAAACAAGAACCAGACAGTCATAAACG